AGATGATTGAAGCAAGGGAAGACGTCAAGGATTTTTTATTAGGTAATCTTCGATTAGGAAAGTAGCGCCCCGCGGGCCGCAGCCCCGGCGCTGGCGCCTCCGGCAACGGCCCTAGCATTGGCTGGAGCGGGAGGAGCACCGTTTCATCAGCAAGGGGGACAGCCGGGTGCGGGAGCGCTGGCGCCATCGGCAGCCCCAGTCCCGGGCGCCGCAGCAGGTACCACCACTGGTGAGCGGGGGGGCGCCCCCTCGGCCGCCCCCGCCGCTGGAGCGGCCAGAAGGCGGAGCACCTCTATCAGCAGAAGCAACAGCGTTTGTTCCCGGAGGACTTCAGCACGATCAGCAAGCGGCAGCCCCGGCTACGGGCCCGGCCCCAGCGTCGCCAGCGCGGCATCAACCGACCGTGTGACACCGTATGGTATCCGCCCCGTATCCCCCGCCTTGTTTATCCCCCGTGCGGGGGTAAATCGGCGGGGGATACGGGGCGGATACCGTATGATATCACCTTCAACTTGCCTCCACCTTGACTTCAACTAAATAAGATATTTAACGTCATTGTGCTTTGTGTGCGTCACCGTGCCGATTTAGGCTGGGGCTACTCGGGGCTACTGGGGATTGGGAATATAAGGGGCTATGTCAAACACGGGTAATTTGGGGCGATGCTAATAAAATAACATAAAAATAGCATTACGGGGCAGATAGTATCGGGATACCCCCGAAATACGTCCCATTTTTATGGCGGGCGGGATGGTCTGTCGGTCGGCGGTCGTTCGTCACGGTCGTTCGTCACGTTTCTATGGTGGGCGTGTTGGTCTGTCGGTCGGCGGTCGTTCGTCACAGATAAGCTCTTCGGGGGCACGGGGGGGGCTCCGGGTGCTCTGGGCCTCGCGCGGCTCGCCGGCGCGGCGGCAGCGAGCGCGGGAGCCGTCGCCGCTGGTGCAGGATCAGGGATTGGTGTGGCAGGAGTGAGACAGGCCCGAAGCCGGCGGCGGAGCTTTCGAACGTGTACGAAGCCCATGCCAATGCGGTTCTCCAGCTCATCGTTCGAGATGAGCCCCTCGTCTTGCAGCACTTGAATGCTCACGACGCCGCACTGAATCAGAGGCTCGTAGAAATGGCCCATGCACAGCTCTTCCAGCAGTTTCTTCATCACGATTCTGGCGAAATATGGCTTCGCGGAGTTGGTCATCATGTGCAAATGTAGCACGTCCGCAAATTCGAGGTGGTCGAGTACGAGACCAGTGAGCTTGGTCCACATCTCGTTCACTGGCACGGCGCGGGTGCCCTCGAGGCTGCTGCGCAAGGCTGCGGTGTACGAGCGGAGCGTGGCTCAAAGGTGGCGCGTCGAGAGGTGGGCATAAATATCAGGGTGGCCAGCAGGCACAAATTAATATCAAGACGGACCCCGCCGGCACAAATTAATATCAAGACGGACCCCGCTCGCCGAGGATTTTATATCAAGACGGACCCCGCCGGCACAGCCCACATCTAGTTCGATTTATTTAGTTTTAGTAAGAATTTCAAGACGGACCCCACCGGCGCACGATCACGCCAGGACGGACCACGTCGCGCTGATGCGCTGGCGATAGTTTCGGCCCGGCGACAGTAGGGCATGCCGACCGACCTAGAATTACCCCGGGCGTCGCTAGAAATAACAGGCATCTTACAGGGCCGGAGGGGCCTCGGTGTCGCCGCGCCTGAGCTCGCCTTGCGGGAAACCGAAGTTGCTTAAACGATGAGTGCCAAACCAGTTCGCCTCTGCTTAA